AAAGAGGTAGCAATCTGCCTTTAAATGTAGATTGTGGAAGTAATCCTTGTGATGAAACGGGTACTGAAAATTACGCAATATTCCTCCAGAAAAACTGATGTGGCAAGTGTATGAAGTCCAGAAAACTGCAGTTTTTCTTCTTCCATTCTTCCTACATGACTTCTACCTATATATTTAGTTTTGATTCAGCAAAAAGCTTGCACAAGTCTAGTCCAAGAGTTTAAATCAGCTTTTAATTTTGTTGCCTTGTTGGCTTGATGAATGGTTTATTGCAATCACTCCAAAGACTTCCATTGGCTTTATTGGCTGTTAGATCAACCCATGTCTCTAAATGCTGTATGTGTTAGTAGTGCAGCACTCTGTTGAGAGCAATTAGTCTTTCTTGACTTAATTATCACTTCACAAGGGAATTCAGAAATAGTTTGAGTGTATTCAGTTGAACTGATAGTGTCTTGTAGGGCCAATAAGTTTTTATTTAATGATGTTTTCTGTTACTAATTCATTTTATGTGTTATGATGTTTTATATTTGCGTAATAAGCCAGACAGTTTAGTACTATGCTAATTTCTTTCTATTCAACGGAGAGTATAAGGTATTTAGTTTAAAAAGGTTTTCTAGTACTTGTATTTTCTAGCTGCATTCTTTTTTCATTGTTACAATACTGTCTTAGGCTAGAAGAAATATCTCCGTTCCTTTAAATCATGACAAGACTTCTGTGTCTGCATTACAGTAGGTAAACTTGCAGTGTTTGGTTTCCTATTCTTTAAAATAAACCCATTTCTAGAAATGTTTAAGTAAAAGCATTTGATACACTCAGAAAACAGATGATCAGTTGTTTATCTGCTTAGCTATGGATGTTTCTTAGGAAAAGTTTTTCCCCAAAAAAGTTTTCCATGTTTTAAAAAAAAAAAAAAAAAAAGTAGGTTTATTTCTCTGCTGGGAGAGAATAAATGCAGTTCTGAGGAAGCAGCAAGAAAATACAAAACAAGTAATATGTGTAACCAGTTGCAACGTTTTTGCTCTCTCTTTAGGAATACGGAACACTTTATATTCAGGAATACAAGAAAAACAGCAAAGTGGAGTCGAGTACATGCGGCAGCTTCATGGGCTTGAAGGATCATCTGGGGCATGACTTAGGCCACCTTTATGTGGGGAGCACTGGCACACAAATAAATGCAATTGTACCTTGGTCAATGGTGGAGAAGCCAACGATGGATAAGGTTAATTCTAGGAAAGAAGATGTAGACAAGGAAGCATCTGAAGAGACTTCTGGAAGCTCCAGCTGTGACTCTGAAGAAAGCACAAATTCTGATAATGATTCAGAGAGACTGAATAATTCTGCATCAGAATCACATTTATTGCCTAAGACTCACCGACAGCTGTGCCGATCTCCTTGCTTAGAGCCTCATATACTAAAAAGAAATGAAATCTTGCAAGACTTTAGGATAGAAGAGACTCAGATAGTACCTAAGGAAGTCAAAAAGCCCCCTGATGTGGTGAAAGAATATCAAACCAAACTAGAGTTTGCACTTAAATTGGGTTACTCTGAAGAGCAGGTTCAACTTGTACTAAATAAACTTGGTACTGATGCTTTAATAAATGATATTTTGGGAGAACTTGTCAAACTTGGGAATAAAACTGAGACTGATCAGACTGTAACTAATTCGAACACTAGTGTAATGCGTGAAGCGTCTTCCATAGAGTCTCAGAGGTCAGAGTCTCCACTGCAGGAGGATGTGACAGAGGATGGTGACAACCTGAGGCCAATAGTTATTGATGGCAGCAATGTTGCAATGAGGTATGTGACCATGAAGCTTTTGCTTTTGTGTTTAAATGGAAACAGAATTACCTTGTCCCATTCAAGCACTGATGTTCAGTATGATTGCCTAAAACTGTACGAAGGTTCTCTCGCAAGCGTCTTTGTCAACCACGCAGTATACCAGTCTTGTAATCGGGCTAGAGGTCTGTAAGAGTTCAGTGGTTTGTTCTCACTGTTAGAACAACCATAGGTTACTGCCAGTCTCCCTTTGTAGGCAGCTATCAAATCTCTCCTTCCCACTGACAGTCTATTACTTCATTAATTTTTGGTAGGCACGATTGCTATGGGCCATTACTGTATCCAGTTACATACAGGAGGTTAAAGCAAATGTAAGATTCCTTAACATTATAAAATAGTGATTTAGAATTAAGTGGCTTAAGGGATACTTCTTCTTGGTAGGCTATTCTATGATAACTGGTCTGTCTGTAAAATTGGTCTTGGTTATCAGATTTGGAGTTAGGTTTTATTGCCGTTAATTCCTGAGATTACTATGCGTTAGACTTTCATGCCCACAGATAACAAACACATTTACCTGCAGCATTCACTCAGGCTGACCCCAGTCATCTACATGCATAGCAAGAAACTTGTCTGTGGGGAGGCAAGAGGTTCATGCTTCATTGGTGGTTAGAGAAGGAGATGGCAGAGAGAGATGTACTGAGATTTTTTTTTTTTTTTTTTATGGCTATATAAATGATTAAATGACAAATTGATTAATAACTAATTGGGTAACTCATAAGGATTATCCAATTACTAGCACCATGGTTTAGAAGGTCAATTTTAGTCTTCTGACAACTTGATGTGGTTTTCATTAGCTTAGTAATAAAAGTTCGTGCAAGACATTTTTGGGCTAAAGGGCCAGGGTTTTTTAGCTCCTAATCAAGTCAATTACCTTTAAATGAGGCTTTTTAAAACAAAATTTAAATACAGCTCTTACTTACGCCAATATGATAGCTTTTGTTTATTTAAGTGGATGTGTTAGCAAGGATATTGCTTCTTTGTAAATGGGGTATTCCTGTGAGTTCTTTTTACCTGATGTGTCATTCCTAATCTTTTTGTTCAACTTGAGCTGTAAAGGAAGTATGTCCAGTTGAACAAACGCTATTCTGGTACTCAACCAAGAAGTTATCCAGACACCTCTAAAATGGGTTTGGATTGTATTTCATGTAAATCCAAAACAGTTGTGTAAGTGTTAGCTAGTTAGCACAGCTCAGACTTAGTGGGTGGACTTAGGCTCAACTTCTCCCACGAACTGCACTGAACACATTCCAGAAGTAGCTTCAGATCAATCACTTTTCCTTAATGTTTATTCAGCTACTAGCATAAATATTTAGGACCTGCCTTCCAGTGCTCAATTTACTTTCTTGACCACCTACATAAAATGATCCAAATATGAATGCATGCTATGCATGCTACAGGGCCTTAAACAGATTAAATCTCTTAATATAACAGTCTTTCTGTATCCAAGAATGGAATTAACAGGTCTTTACTTGTTTTCTACCGAATTTAATCACAGAATCATTCAGTTTGGAAGGGACCTGTGGAGATCTTCTAGTCCAGTCCCCTGCACAGAGCAGTGTCAATTCAAGGCCATGTCAAGTTGGGTTTCGAATGTCTCCAAGGATGGAGACTCGACATACTCTCTGGGGCAGTGTTTGAATGCCCTCACTGTAAGAAATTTTTCTTTTTTTATGTTTAAACAACATTTCTTGTATTCCAGTTTATGCCCATTGCCTCTTGTCCTGTCAGTGGACACCAGTGAGAAGTCAGTTTCTGTCCTCTGTATTCCCTCCCATCAGGTATGGATAAGATCCCCCTGAGCCTTCTCTCCTCTGGACCCAGCTCTCCTGGCCTCTCCTCATATGACAGGTGCTCCACACCCTTGATGAACTTTGTCCTTCACTGGACTCTCGCCAGTATTGTCCATGTCTGTTTTATACTGGGGAGCCCAGAACTGAACCCAGCACTCCAGATGTGTCTCTCACCAAGGCTGAGCAGAGGGGGAAGGATCACCTCCCCTGACCTGCTGGCAACACTTTTCCTAATGCAGCCGAGGAGGCTGTTGGCTGCCTGTGCTGCAAATGCACGTTGCTGGCTCATGGTCAGCTTGGTGTTCACCAGAACCCCAAGGTCCTTCTTTTTAGAGTTGCTTTCTGGTTGGTTGGCTCCCAGCCTGAACTGATGCCTGGTGTTAGTCCTCCCCAGGTGCAGGATTGGTATTTCCCTCTGTTGAACTTGCTGAGGTACCTGTTGGCTCATTTCTCTACTCTGCTAGGGTCCCTCTGAACGGCAGTATACCCACCTGGTGTACTCCTCCCAGTTATGCGTCCTCTGCACACTTGCTGAGGGTGCACTCTGTCCCATTATCTAGGTCATTAATGAAGACGTTAAGCAATGCTTGCCCAGTATCAATCCCTGGGGTACACCAATACTGATTGGCCTGCAGTGGGACTTTATGCCACTAATGATAACCCATTGAGTGCAGCAGTTCACCCAGATTTCAGTCCGTATCTCTGTCCCCTTATCTTGCCCATACTTCATTAGCTTGTCAGTGAGGATGTTGTAAGAGACAGTGTCAAAAGCTTTGTTAAAGCCACAATAAACAGCCTCCACTGCTCTCCTGATCCACTGAGCCAGTCATCTCGCCATAGAAGGCTATGAGGTTGGTCAAGTGTATTTCCTCTTCATAAATCCATGCTGACTGTTCCCAATCACCTTTACCCAATCTACATAATTTGTTAGGAAGGGGCTTCCAGGATGATTTGCTCCATCACCTTTGCAGGGATCAAGGTGAGGCTGACGAGTCTGTAGTTTTCCAAAATACCATTCTTGCTTTCCTTGAAGATAGAAGGGATATTTGATCTCTTCTAGTCCTTAGGAACATCCCCAGTCACCACAACCTTTCAAAGATTAGCAAGAGTGGTGTCATGATGTCATCAGCCAGCTCCCTCAACACCCTTGAGTGCATCCCATCAGGGCCTAGAAGCTTGGGAATGTCCCATTTCAGCATTCCCTAACCTCTGCTGAGGGAAAGTCCTGTCTTGTCACCTTTGCCCAACTTCCTGCATATCAGGGTGGACCAATCTTAATCTTGGAGAAGGTGATCCTTGAAAATCAACCAGCTGTCCTGTGCCCCTCTTCTCTCCAGGATCATATTGTGTGGGATTCCCCTGAACAGGCTGAAGTCTGGGGTTGTGATCCTGCTTTTTGCCTTGCTCTTTTTTCACAGGATCCTGAATTCCACTGCTCACGGTCACTGCAGCCAAGGCTGCCCCTGACCCTTACATCTCTGACCAGTTCTTCCTTGTTTGTAAGTATGAGGTCCAGCAGCTTCCCTTGTTGGGTCCTCAGTCACCCATGTTAAGAAGTTATCATCAGTGCACTCCAGAAACTTCCTGGATTGCTCATGCCTTGCTGTGTTGGCCAGCCTATTGGCAAAGACACTTCTGCTCTGCTTTTGGTCAGCCAGGTGGCAAAGATGCTTTTGTTCTGCTTGGTCAAGTGGATCCCACCTTTTCTTAGAAATCAGTCCTTGACTTTAAAAGCCAGTCCCATGTTTGTAAAAGATGAGTCCCTGTTGCTGACACCAGCTGTGCAACCAGTTGTTTACCAGCAGGATCTGTCCTTTTCCCTTCAAAAAAATGGGTAATAGTAAATAAGCACTTTAAATACTTAAAAGGAAAGATTTGAGCTTTTACACGTAGAAGAACAATGTTCAATGCAGTGGGGGAGATACCGGAATTCACCTGCAGTTCAGACAGTCTTGCTCAAATTTCTGATCTAAACGTCCAGGGTCCTGTTAGGAGTCCTATCTAACCTATAAATTGGCACAGTCTATTCTTTTCTTTCCTCTTTGCTTTTCCAAGCTGTGGCCAATGAGTTCACTTTGGAGCTGGTAAAGGGAAATTGGTCTGTGCCCTAAGCAAGACTGTAGATAGTCTTTTGAGAGATATTCTTGGGAGCGCTCTCATATGTTCTCACAGAAATGGGTAGATTCTGATCTATATTCTTACTCCCATGTTGTTGTAATATATGTACTTGATGATACCGTTTACTATCAGAATTATTCTAGATAAGAACTGCTAATTTTCCTTTAAAGGATGTATTTGATGAGGGGCGGGGGGGAGTTTTGTGGAGAAGGTTGAGGTGAGTGATGTCCAATAATACAAATAGGATGAGACAGCTGTCCTCTTCTGGAAGGATCAAATGCTGTATGCTGTCCTGTCTCTCTATTGCAGACTAATTAAGGATGCAGTTTCACAAAACATCTAATGAGTGACACAGAGTGACTTACTTTCAGCCTCACCTCTACCTTGCTGCCAGGGATGCTTTCCTACCTGCATCTCATCTAGTGACTGTGTGGCTGCAAAATGAGTTGATTCAGCTTCTTAATTCAGAGGGGAAAAAAAAAAAATCAGAAAGGATTATTTTTCCATTAGACCTGTAAATGAAACCTGATGGTTTTGTGGTTGGGGAACAGCTAGGTCTGAAACAAAGGAGGAAGGATGTGTCTGATTATGTGACTGGATGTTCATATTTGTGTAACTGGTTGCATCTAGTCAACTGGTGATGGGTGGATTTGTGAGTTCCTTGATGGCAGCACAGAACAAGACTTAGGCCAGAATAGCTTACTCTGGCCAGCCAGAGCCAGCATGTATGCTGGTCTAGTGTGGTGACGACTACTGTTCCAGACAAGCTGCTTTAGCAAACTGTAGTTAAAAAAAAAAAACCCTCTCAATTTTCTGCCTTTTGGTAATGCTTGGAAAGCTTTTCTTATACTTTAAGATGGCATTGCTTGTCACTTGTGCCTTAAACTGAAAAAGGTTGATCAGATATATCTTGTGGCTTTCAAGTTCAAAGCTCCAATAGTGGCTAAAGAATATGAATTGGTTAAAGTTTTAAAAACAAAGCAAACCCCCTCTTTCAACTGAATAGCAGAAAGGAGGCTTTTGCAGGCTATGCCTTGAAGAATTGCCATTTAGTTTCTATGGGATGCTTCAAATCTGGTCTTGTCCTTTCGTTATTCTAGTTTTCATGGTGTTGGCTTAATCCTTTTCCAGAAGAGGAAAGATGACTATGCATTTAAGCCTAACACACGCAGTCTTTTGTTAGAACACTCTTAGAGATGAGACTTTCTTTCTGG